CTGTCAAAAGGGGGAGAGGAAAATCATTTAAGCTGCTTCGGCCCCCATTGCAGAGAAATACTATTTTTCATCCTGGGAAACCATTGTTGCCAATCTCCAGGTGAGGGCTGGAGATCACTCAGAATTACCACTGCTCTACAGATGGCAGAGATCAGTTCCCCTGGAGAAAATGGTGGACTCTGTGGCAGCCAGAGCACGGAACAGGCTGCAGGTGTGTGTGGGGGGAAATGGAAAGCTGAAGAGAGAGAAGGAAGAATAAAGGTAGGTTGATGATTGGCTGGGAAGGAGATAGGGTTGCCAATTGCAGGTGGGAAATTCCTAGAGATTTGAGGGATGGAACCTGGAGAGGGTGAGGTTTGAGGAGGGGTGGGACCTCAGACAGGTACAATACCATAGACTCCACCCTCCAAACTAGCCATTTCTTCCTGGGTAACAATTGTTGCCAATCTCCAGATGAGGGCTGGAGATCACTGAAAATTACAACTGCTCTTCAGGTGTTTATTTATTTATTCCATTTGTATCCTGCCCTCCCTGCAATGCAGGCTCGGGTAGCAGAGATCAGTTCCTCTGGAGAAAATGGTGGACTCTGCGTCATTATACCCTGCTAAGGTCGCCACAGCACATTTACACTGAGTGCCCAAGGCCTTGGCACTCCCCCAGATCCTCTTTCTAGAGCTCGTTGTATTTATTTCCACAACAGGCCTTATTCTTAGTATGATATATGTGCCACTTTATTGCAGTTCCTAGTTGATGACGTACACATCCAGAGGCATTGGAATTTTTATACCTGGTTGGTTTGCAAATCTAATTATTTCAGATGTTCATTGGCATACTTATATATTTATAATATTTTAGCTTATTTTAGCTTATATTTATAGTTTTCATTTTCATTAGCTTATATATATAGCTTTCATTTTCAGACTGCTATACCATTGAAGATTTTGTTATGTGAGTGCAGAAGAGATTCATGGACTGCTTTTTAAAGTTTCAGCAACTGCACAACATGTTAATTAATTTTACTTTTTGAGAGAATTTTTTAAAAATCAATATAATTCATAATGCTTATATTTATTATAATAATTTGAATGTGTGAAACCTCACTGCCCCAAAATAGTGCAGTAAATTATGTAAAATAATCTGCTGACATTATTTAGTAAATGACATTTAGTTAATTTGATTGTAAGGCTGAAAACATAATAAGTAAATATCACCCACTCATAAAAGGAACAATAGCAGTGACACCACTAGCATAATTAGCAAACTGGTTTAGTATAACTATTGTACTTTATAAGAATCACAATTCTCTATGGAAGTCATTGCTGATTTGATAAGGCATGTTCTTATACAATGAATAAGCCTTTTGAAAAATTTTTTTTTTGGCATAAATGCAGAACAGGCTAAAAGCCAGATGCTCCAGGCCATATTATTCTGCTGAATTTGTCAGTTCTGTGTTTGCTACTGCTGTCATGTGATTTTGTACAGCAATAGGGCTTTTGCTTTCTGTGGATGAAGTGATGTAATTTGGTGCAAATGAAAACTCTGAAATATACCTGGTTTTCCTTGAGGAATTTCTTTTTCATGTTTAACAGCATCTTGTTCTGTAAGACAGAAAGAGCATAAATAAGTCTTTTTGTCAACTAAAGACAAGTTGCTGGAGCTTGGAATTGTTGTAGATCTGGTAGCCCAGCATAGCTGCCAATTTTGAGGACTACTTTCAGGCCAGTTTTTTCAGTCTTGGCTTTTGTGAATGGACAATATAGTTCTACTGGCTTATATATGGCCAATTTTGAATGCATATAAAAAGTCAAGGTCTCTTCCCTACAGGGGTGTGTGTGGTATATGGGAGTCTCATTCTGTTGTGTCCTTATATAGATATAGTTGAATATAGATTTTGATCAATTCATGTTAGATATAGTTATTTTTTGAATTTTGTTTTTCTTTCCCTGTGGCTTTATATTTTATAAATTTATGTTAACCCATAATTGAAAACTTTATAATATAGGTGGATTAGCCTGAGTGATAGGAGATGGTATTGCAGTGTACTGCAGTGTATTGCAATATTGTCAATCAAATAGCACACATTTCTAATTTAAAAATGGAACAGAGGTAGTGTTCAAAATGAGACAGCGTTACAAGCAAACAATGAAAAACTGACCAAGGCAATGAAACAGGCAATGCGGGCAAAGAAGTTCTAAGGAAACCAGACTATCTGTTTAGAGGAAAGCACTTCTAGAATGGTACCATAAAGAAGCACTGCTGCTAAATTCAAGGGCAATATTCTGTTTTGTAGATTAATTTCACACACATATACTGTGGAAAGAAATCAAGAGACTGCAATTTATCTCAGGTCTGTAGAACTGGTAACCTGCCAAACTTAAGACAGCACAACTCAGCAACTACTCAGGTTAACCAACCAGAAGCTATGCAGTGCCCTAGCTTTGCTACATGTTTGTGACTCCAAAGTGGGCATGGAATTATCAAACTGTTGTTCCTGGCTGTTGAGCTGTATTTGGCACAAAGCAATCTACCAGATTATCCAATAGTGTAGCACCAATATTTGGAATGTAGAATATGAACACAACTAGACTCCTGGAGACCAATCCTAAACAGATCCATTGAGAATCCTACTCCTATACAATGAGGCTGATTCCCAGGAAAGTGCTCTTAGGATGGCATTGTTAAACAGTTAGACATAGAAATATCATACCTGTATCCAAAAGGCCTGGCAGTGTGTTCTGTGTGTTACTAGTGGGGATTCTAAGAGCTAATTTATACTCATACTCAAAAAATTACTGCTTGCATGATTAGTCTAGTTCTATAATCAATGTCGAGCTGCGGTGGCTCAAGAGGTTAAGACGCTGAACTGCAGGCTGTGGAAGGTCGGTAGGTCAGCAGTTCAAGACCCGAGTGTGCCGCATGACGGAGTGAGCTCCCATCTCTAGTTCCAGCTCCTGCCAACCTAGCAGTTCGAAAGCAAGCAATTGCAAGTAGATAAATAGGCACCGCTTCGGTGGGAAGGTAACAGCGTTCTGTGCGCCTTGGTTTTTAGTCATGCCGGCCACATGACCACAGAAACGTCTTCGGACAGCGCTGGCTCTTCAGCTTTGAAACAGAGATGAGCACCACAACCCTAGAGTCGGACTCGACTGGCTTTCGAGCAAGGGAACCTTTACCTTTATAATCAATGTAACATCTGAACAACAGTAACATTTCAGGTCCTTTTCATGATAAAACATTTCCATCTTGCAAGAGTAAATTGTTTTAAATATAATTTGAAACAGCTCTCAGACAGCCCCTGAAAGCAAAGCCCCCTTTATTTCAAAACAAGTTATCACCCCCAAAATTCAGGGGAAGCAACCTCTGATGCAGCATGAGGAACTACCTTCTAAAGGAGGGGGAAAGTAAATTCCAATACAGACATGCCCTTGTGCTAATCTAAAAGCATTTTTAAAAAGATTAGAACCAGAGAGCCAAAGCATATGCAACAACAATGGAGACATTGATCCTCAACGTATTCTATCATATTAAGAAATTGCACATGACCCCATTCCAAAGTCTCATGAAGGATAACAATAACTGTTGAAATAGAATACATAAAATCTTTCTTCATATTAAGAGTTATCCCCTACCACGGTTGCCAGGTCTGGGTTGAAAAATACCTGGAGACTTTGGGGGTGGATCCAGGAGAGGGTGGGGTTTGGGGAGGGGAGGGGCCTCAGCATGGTATAGTGCCATAGAGTCCACCCTTCAAAGCAGCCATTTTCTTCAGGGGAGCTGATCTCTGTCAGCTGGAGATCAGTTGTAAAAGAGGGAGATCTCCAGGCTCCACCTGGAGGCTGGCAACCTTATCCCCTACTGCATCTCCATTTACCAAAGCCAGTGTATCTGTGGAACACTTTGAGGATCTTAGACGTATTTATTATGTAATCATCAAGGGCAACAGAATAATTTGTATAGTTCTGATGCACATTCTTGAAGCAGTTTATTAACTGCCCCCCAAACCGAACAATTATTTCAGACAAGAATTAGCTAAAGCTTATTTCTGCAACTAGAGCCTATCTTTCACTCTTAATTCCCCCCAAAAACCCATAATGGGAGTAAATCCATTTAATGCTACTCTTTAAGCTCAATGTACATTTGCATTTAGACTTTGACGTTTCATAAACTGTTGACTGTAGCCATGACAATGTTATGCTGATGATATTAGTTTACTGTATATTTGTGAACCACTTGGAAACGGAGAAGAGAATGGGATCTATATTTACAAATTAAAATAAATAAATATTCCAGAAAACACACATGATGGAGAGGAACATGCTTTTACAAAAGTATTCACATATAGTTAAATGCCATATTGACATTCAGATATAAGGGTCAAGTTACTGAAAAACGATTTCAGGGTTAATTGGTTTGGGGGATCATAATGGATTGCCAGTTAGGAACAAGTGCTTTAAATCAGAATGAATCTCATTAATCATGCAGCTTAAAGCAAAGCAATCAACAGCAGCAACCACAGACAAAGCGCCTTTATATGGTAAAGCCAGAACTATCAGACAGAATCAGCTACATCATAGGATTTTTCTTATCCAAGGTATATACAATCACATACTTGCTGTCTTAGGCTTGACTATAAAGAGAAAAAAACAAAATACAACATGTAAAAACGCATTATTGTTAAATCAACTTTCCCCACATATTTGCTTAGCTTATCCGGCCTTCATGGCTATATAATTGAAATGTCAAAGTAATAAATTGTGGTACCCATAGTATATATTTATAAAATAAAAAGCAAAGAGTCACATTCTAACATCAAGAGCTTCCTCAAGATAAAGACAAATTAGGCAGATTTATCAACTATCACCCAAAGACGGGAAGACCACCATGGCCCTAAGTAATGCTCCCTCTAAGCTGTGGAGTCTTGTGAGCAAAAATTCGACTTTGTGAGCTACTGGCATTAAAGTTATGAGTGAGCAATTTGGCCACTGCATAAATTAATTTGTTCTGGAGCCATCTTTCCTGAGCCAAGACAAAAATCTGTGAGCCAGAGGTGAAATAACTGAGGAAGCTCACACTAATTCCATTTAGAGGGAACACTGGCCCTAAAGTTCCTGAAGTGAGAAAGCAAAAAGTCCTATTTAATAATTAGGACTAAAGTTTTATCAGGAATGTATCAAGAAAAATGTCTAATATTACCCAGTGGAGACAAGAAAATGTTTGGGAAGATTGGGATGGGGGTGGGGGGCAGGGGAACTCTCTTCTTCTATACATCAGAGAGTTGTACTGGTTTCTTACCAAAGAAAGGCTAAGTCAACAATTCTGAAAAGGTCTGCTAAGGATTAAGTTTTATTTTATTAAATGGGGCTTACACCCAGGAAAGCATCTTTAGGATTCCAGCCACAGAGCAATCCACCACTGAATGCACTGCCTGCTTTATGATGCAGTCTTGGCAAAGTGCTAAGAAACCAATGCAATTTCACTAACAATGGCAATATACCCTCCCCCAACACTACCAGCCCTTTAGAGTTATAAAAAGAAACAAATAATCAATTCCTATCTCCCTCTTTCCTCCACCACAACTAAATGTTAACTATCAATTTTGCAAAGGGGAATGGTCTATGGAGCATAAGGAAATGGTATCAGCTGTGGATCATTCTCACTCCTCCTTCTCCCATATTAATATTTTAGCAGGAAGAAGGTCTTGAGTTAATCCTGACAAACTGAAGAAAAAGAACAGCCAAGAACCACATCATATTTCCATATTGTTTTATATAGGGATTGTCTGTAACTGAAGTTCAGTGGGGAGAGAGGTTAAAGGACGTGTCTTGTGGTACCTTATAGACCAGGGGTCTCCAGTGTGTTACCTGTAAAGTGCTGTGGTGCCCAGGGATACCTTTCCTGGTGTACACCGA